TTTAGTGATCATGATATGTCTAAATGGATATTACTAAGGGAACTACTCATGCTTTTGTTACAACAAAATAAAGGAAGTTAATACTGTGTTGCTCAAAACTCCTAACGTTTTGTAGGTTTGCTCGATAATATTTCGATTGTCCTCTCTTAGAAGGTATGCCTCTTTAACATTTAGGAGGCGAAGATTCTGTTAAATCTCATTGGCCAAACACAATTATCCAAAACGAATACATGAATACATCTACATCATCTACTTAGGCCCATTTTAGTGGTTTTACAACGAATCTTCTAAGAGACACAGGTTACTATGCTGAAATAAACGCCTCTATGGAAGAATAAATGTTTTATGGAAAAGGAAAAGGCTGTGAATACGTTTATCGTAAATGTGATACTACTTTTAGAGAATATTGTAATCCTGAAACTGACGTTGGAATATGTGACTTTTATCACCATAGTTTTGCTAATTGTAAAGCTGGTTTATATAATGATTCTGATTGTAATAATTTATTTGCCTACAAAAATGGAAAATGTTGGGATGTTAACAGTGAATATAACACAGATATTTATAGAAAATAAAATGGAACTAAATTTGGTACTGATTCGAAATGTTTTAACGGAACCTTATTGGGTAAAAAATATAAAAAAAAAGATAAAATACAGGGCAATTGCTATTAATATGAATGTAGTACAAATGGATAATAACTAACTATATTTGTAGATTAAGTATAACTCATTTGTACAAAAAATTTAGAATAAAAAACAGTAGTGAATTATCAGGGATATATTTAATGCCCATAAAATATATAAGAATTTTGTGGGTTTAAAAAAATGTGTCCCAATTTCTGTAGTGCTAACGGAATATGTTTAAAAAACTAATGTATTTGTATTAAAGGATACTTTGGAGAAGATTGCTCTAAAAATAATCTCAAATGAGAAAAATAAATTTTATTAATTTTATAATATATATAATAAAAAAATTATAAAAATTATAAATAATAAATGTAAAAAATTAGAATTTTTATTTTTGATATAATATAATATTATATTAAATTAAGTTTATTATGAAAAAAAAAAAAAATTAAATTAAAAAAATATAAAAAAATTTTTTTAAAAATAATTTCTAATATAAAAATAAACTAATTTTAATAACATATAAATAAAATTTAAAAATTATAAAAAAATAATTAAAAAAATATAAATATAAAAATTTATATAATTTATATAAATAAATATATTATTATATATATATATATATATATTTTAAGTATTCATATATTTATATATATAATTTTTTTCATAATTATTATTTAGATTCTATTTTAATTTGTTCTACTTAAACGTTTTTTTTTCTAAAAATATATCTTATCTTATATAAAAATATAATTAAAATGCACAAAACAATAGCTAAAAGTATCCAAAAACCTATTTACCACATTGTTATTTTTTATTCTTTAGGCTTAACTTATTTATCACAATAAGAGCTTACGTCTTTATGTATATATGCTGACATTATTGCTTTAAAATCACTATATTTACATACATCTTATCCATTGCAAATTTTAAGATATCTTCCATTAAATTTAACTTTAACATAATGTTATTTATCTTAATCATCCTCATATAACTCGAAAATATAATTGGATGCAAATACTGGCATTAATTCACAAAATTCAGATTATTATTAATTTTATTAATAAGATTAAAGACATTCTTAACTCTATTAATTCAAAATTATCATTAAAGAATTTATTTATGAATCATGAGTTGATGCTATAGTTATTTTACGAGGGTTTACATTTTTTATCTTAGATTCAAATTCTTCTAAAAGGAATTTGATATATGGAGTTAAAATTAACTTCTTACTAAAGGAGTGAAATATGTAACAACCTTATAAAAGCTTTTTATATAATTTAAAAGTTCATACTCTTATATGGTTAAATTATAGTTAATACCTAAGAATCTTGAAGTAGTTACCCAGTCTACAAAAGCTGAAATATTTTTAACATCTAAAGTATAACTTATGCCTACTTTTGCAGCTATTTAATTCACTTGATTTTCATATTTTTTGTAAAATTGTTCTAACATTACAATGTTTTTTTAAAGGTTTTCTGCTTTGAATTTTGATTTCGAAGGTTTACATTTAAATTTAAGAATATTTAATTCATCATTATATTATTATATCACATAAGGATAAAAGCCCTCAGGTAAAGCAAACCTTAAATTATTATTGTAAACAAAATCATTTACTTATTATGCACGCTATTATTATTAATTCTAATGATATGGAGCTTCTTTTAAATTATCAGCTAAATTTTGAGGTAATGCTATGCCAGTTCTGAGAGGATATAAACCATATAAGAAACTTTATAAACTCTATAAAGTTCTATTTACATTAGAAGAAAATGCATATATACTATCAATATCATAATTTTCTGGAAGAAATCTTTTTTCACCAACATATTCTTAACGCACAAGATTGCCGAAATTATAGTGTTAAAGCATACCAACTGATGTTAATTATCCTTCTTTTTGTTTATAAAATTTATAATCAGGCTTATCTTTTATTACTTTAGAATTAACTGAATATCTTGCTCCGTGACGCATAGCTATTTAAACCATTTTAAGATTTAAAGCAGAAAAAGCTTCATTTATTAGCATAATAAAAAATAAACATTTTACAAAAGATTTCATATTTTATAATTAATTTTATATTTTTAATAATAATATTTATATAAATATATGAATATATATTATATAAATTTCTATTTAATATTTTTTTTTTTTTCATTAAATCATATAAATATATATTTTACAAATATTTTTCTGATATCTTATAAAATAAAAAATATAAATCTATTATTAAAATATTATTAAAATGTTTTATATATTTTTATAAAAGTTAATTTAATAAAAGTAATAGATAAAAATAATTTTCTTACGTATATTAAAATGAATAATTAGATCTATAAAATTATTAAAGTATATAACATATAAAATACATATATATTATGTATCATATAAATTATAAAAGATAATAGATTTTTTTAAAATTTAAATAATAAATTTTATATTTAATATATTTTTTTTAATAAATATATCTAAATAGAATTTTTTATATGTCATGATAATAATATTGATATAATATTGTAAATTAAACATAAATATCATTATATATTTTTAATATTAATTTAAAAGTTTATTAAATATTATCTCTTTTTATATATATATATTTAAATTAATTTTTTATTATTAAAAATTATATATTTTTATTTTATAATTTAATTTATTTATTAAAGATATTAAAATAAGCTTTTTAAAAAACAAATAAAAAAATATAACTATATACAATAAATTTCTTTTTAATTTGTTCAAAATAAAATATGAATCAATAATATAACAAATCCTAAAATGGATATGATATATATATTTTTATTTAAAAAAACAATAATTTATTAATTTTTAGATTGAAATTAATTAAAATTTCCTTTTAAATTAGTTAATAATATAAATAATTTGTGAAAAATTTATTTTATATTATAAATTTATTTTATAATTTTTTTTTATTCTTTTATAAATATTTAAATTTCTAAAAACTTTATATTTATAATAATTTTAGTATTTAATTTATTCAGGATTTTTAAAAATGTTTCTTAAAATTCTGTAAAAGATTATTCTTATATCATAATGATAAAAAAAATTAATTTATTTATATTTTTTAAATTTTTATAAAAAAAATTAAATAATAAAAAAAAAATATCTTTCTTTAATCATTTTTTCAAAATTTTAGAAAAAAAATTAAATATATATTATATTATATATAAATATATTTTTTATATATAATGTTTGAATAAAAATATTATAATAATTATATAATATAATTTAAAATAAAAAATATTATTTACAAGAACTTATTAATATTTAAAATAAAATAAAAATTAAATTTGTATAAAAATATATTATAAAACTATAAAAAAAATTTATAAATAATATAATTTATTTTTAAAAATTAATAAATTATAAAAAAAAGAAAAAATTCATATAAAAAACATCTATTTAAATTTAATATATATAAAAAAAAAGTTTATAATTTATAAAAAAATAATATGAATATATATATATATATATATAAATATATTTATCTTTATATAAATTTATTTATATATTTTTTTTTATTTTTTTTTATATATTTAACATATAAATTTTTTCTATTTTAATATATAATTATTATTAATAAAATATTTTTTTTTTTTTTTTTTTTTTTTATTGTCTGATTATCAAAACAATATAAAATTACTTTTTTTTATTAATAGTAATAAGTTAAGAATTTTAATATAAATTATATAAAAATACAAAAATATAATAAATAATAAAAATAATATATTAATGTTTATTATTAACATTCATTTTTTTTTTATTATAATTTTTTATTTCCTCTACAAAAATAAATATTATCATTTACAGATGTTATACAATTAAACTAATTTTTTTTTATTTTATTTTAAAATTAAAAAAATTAGTGTAAAAATATGAATTAAATAATATAAATGCGTATATAAAATATTAATAATATTTAATTAATATAATTATTATATTTATATAAAATAAAATAAAATAAAAATAAAAATAAAAATTAAAATTAAAATTACTCCTATAACTAAAAATTTTTCAATATATAACAAAAAAAAGTTAATAAAATAGAAAACGAAACATGTTATAACCTTTTTTTTATTATTTATTTATTTTTGATTAAAAAGTCATTAAACACTAACTGTCCACGATAAAATCAAAAAAAAGCATAAATAAAAATAAAACCTACATGACATGGAATCTTTAGATATTATTAATTTACAAATAACTCCACATAATATGGTAATAACCTACGATATGTCTCATTTCGAAGCATTTCCTTCAAATGCTTAAATAAAATGTTAACTATTTCCCGCGAAAAAACCATATAATTCGCAATTGAATATTTTTCTCATTTAATAAATATAATTCCAAGATCTAAATCATAAATGACATATTGAAATTCTAAATGTAAAGATATTAAAATTCCTACAATAGACATGAATAGAGGGAAAAATTCTGATTTAAATTTATATGTATAATATAACACGAATGAAGAAGAAGATTATTAAGCCTAGTCATATTTAACTTAGGCCTTTTTTAGTGCTTTTACAGCCAATATTTTAAGGGACACAGGTTTCTATGCTGAAATAAACGTCTCTATGGAAGAATAAATGTTTTATGGAAAAGGAAAAGGCTGTGAGCATGTTATGGATAAATGTAGAACTTCAAGAAGAGAATATTGTAATCCTGAAACTGACTATTTTTTATGCGATTTTTACCACCATGGTTCTTCTAAATGTAGAGTTAGTATATTTAATGATGCTGGTTGAAATAATTTATTAAACGATTCTTAACAAATAAGGTATATTCAAAGATCATGGAATCAAATTTGGGATTGATTTAAGATGTGTTAATGGAAATTTATTGAATAAAAAAAAACATATAAAAAATTATAATATCAATGTAATTCTAATAGATAATAATTCATTTTATGTGTAGGATAAATACAACTTATTTATAGATAAAATTAGAAAAAAAAACAGTAGAAAATTATAATGGATATATTTTATGTTCGGAAAGCATACAAGAGTTTTGTGGGTTTAAAAAAATATGCCCGAATTTCTGTAGTAAAACTGATATTGCTTAAAAAATAAATATCGTTGTAAAAAAGGATTCTTTGGGGAAAATTACTCTAATAATAAACATATTTGATAAAAATAGATATATTCATTTTTTTTATTTTGTATAAAATAAAATATATTAAAAAAATTTTAATTTTTAATATATTTTTTATTTTGATGAATAATTTAAATAATTAATTAATATATTTTTAATAAAAATAATAATTAAATTATAAAAAAATATATAAAAATATATTTATTATAATAATATTAATTAATAAATCTTACATTATTAATAAATTTAAAAAATAAAATATACTTATATATAAATAAAGCAATTTATTTTTTAAAAATATCATATTTCAAAATATGTTTAAGTTGTTTTTTTAAACTATGAGAAATATAAATAAATTTAAATAATTTATAAATAATTTTAAAAATTAAATTTTTATGAATAGATGGTTGATGAAAAAAAATTATATGATTTGTGTTTTAAAATAACTTATTGTTTATTTTTGTAATATTAGAACTTATAATCGTTATAAACTTACATTTTTTATTTTATAATATAATAATAGAAAATTTAATATAAGCTTTTTATGTTTATTATTTCATATAAAAATAAAATATTTATTATAAATATTTTATATTTTTTTATATATTATAAAGACAATAATTTTTTTTTTTAAAATAATATATAAATAAATATAAATATAAATAATTTAATAAAAAAATAAATATATTAATAAATATTTTTTATATATATATATAATATTTTATAATATATTTATTTTTATATGAAATAAACTCTTAATATAAATTATAAATAATTTTATTCGAAATTTTTTAAATAAAAACTATTTCACATTTGTATAAATTTTTTATATTCATTATGATTTTTTATTTTAAAATTAATTTTAACAAACTAAATATTATACAATCAATTTAAAATTGACATAAATTAAATATAAAAAACTATAATTAAAATTTAGTTTATAAAATTATTTTTATTCTAATAAAAATATATTAATTTAATATAATTATTAAAATAAATATAGGATTGATAATAAAAAAATATTATAATAAATTATCATAAAAGTTAAAAAATATTATTAAAACAATAATATAATCTTGATTATAAGTCTTAAAAATTATAAAATTAAAAACACAAGTGTCTCGTTAATAAAATGTAAAAAAGTCTATTAATTTTCATAAATCTAATTAAATATTTTTCTCTTTTAATAAAAAATATACTAATATTTGAATTAAAAATGAAATATTATTAATATTATTCCAAATATGGGTTAATTTAAAAGATATAATATATATTTTTAATAACTGGACCATATTTCTGATTTTTAGTAGCTTAAAAAATATATATCAGGATTTCCGTAATAAAATACATATAGACTAAATATTAAGCATTTATGATAATGAATTCAATAAAAATGATTAAGTATTAAAATAAACTATGTATATTTATCAGTATTTTCTATTATTTATTGAAAAAGAAAACTTTTTATTTAATTATTTAAATTATATGTTCTTTTGAAATAAGATTAAGAATTTTAGTTTTTTAATTTTAATATTTTTTTTTATAATAACGTTATTATTATTTATCATATTAAACGAATAATTTAATTAAAAAAATTAAAGTGAAATGATAAAGATAAACAATATTATAGAATTTCAAGTTTAATTATTAAAAAATTAGATAATAAAAATAAAACAAAAATATATTATTTAAAATAAATATATTTTATATTAAATTAAATTAATATAATTATAAAAATATAATTAAATTATCAATTTAAATATGCCTTAAATATTCAAACCTATTATTTATAAATATATGTAAAGAATATTTATTAAATAAAAAATAATAAAAAATCTTTTTTTTTTAACAAATAAAATAAAATATAGTAAAAAAATTAAAATTATATAATTTTTAAAAAAAATCTAAAGTCATACTTTAAGTAATAAAAAAAATATATTTCGTTTCGTATTAGATTTTAAATAGTAAAAAAAATTAAAAATTGATATTTAAATTATTTTATAAATAATAATATGTGTATATACTTATTTATATGTATATAAAATTAAATAAATATAATATAAAAAAAATATATATAATATATATATATATATATATATACATTTTTACAAATACATTTTCTACAACATTTTTTTATATTTTATTTAAAATATTTTCTTAAATATATTTTTTTGTAAATATATTAATATATATATTAAATTTTTTGAATTTTTTTTTTTATTTTTATCTTTTATATTTATCAATTTATAAATTCTTTTTTAATTTTTTTTAAACTTAATCTAAATATATCTCTTTTTTTTTATTTATATTTATTAGATATTTGCAACTAAAATACTACCAATATTTTTTTTTTATATAATTTTTTTCACCATTTTTAATTTTTAAATCAATTTTTCTCATTTTTTTTAATATAGTATATAAATATTTTTTAAAAAAAAATATTTATCTTTATTTCAAATATATATATTCTTTTTATTAAAGTTATAAATTCATTATATAATTATTTTATTCTTATTTTTTATATACAAAATATATTTATTATACCAAAAACAATAATTTTATTTTTTATTTAAATAAATATGATTTACACATAAGATTTTATCAATAATTTCATTTTAAAAAATATCAAATTTTGGTTATATTAATAATTAAAACTTCTTTTGTATTAAAATAAGGATTATACTTTTTTTTTTTTCAAAAAATAAAAAAACTAAGTTTTTTTTTTTCATACAGTGTCTACATAAGTTTTGATTAAATTTTTATAATAATATTTCATTTATATATATTTTATTTAAATTTTTTATATATATTAAATATGTTTATTAATATATTTTAAATATATTATACGTATATATGGTATTTTTATATTTTTTTATTTTTATGTTTTTATATTTTTTTATTTTTTTAATGTTATTTATGAAATGTTTAGTTTATTCTAAAAATCTTATTATAATTAACTAATAATAATAATATATATAAATTATTAAACATATTTTTTTTTTATTTTTTTTCATTTTTTTACATTTTTTATTGTATAAATAATTTTTTTCTATAAAATCATTAGAAATTATAAATATGTGTATATATCTTAGTTTTACCATTAATATTTTTTATTTTTATTTATATTTTTATTATTATGTAACAAGTTTGGACATCATTAGTTACTATAAGGCAGTTACTAATTTTTTATTAATTTATTGTAAAAAGTAATAAATTATAGTTAGAATTTATAAATAAAATATTATTATATTTTATTATTGTTTTTTTTATAAATTAAGCAAATTAATGTTTTAAATTATCTATAGATAGTAAATATAATATGAATAGTTATAGTAATAAAACTGTTTTTTGTTTTTAAATTTAAAAGTTTTACCTTAATTTTTTTTTTTTATATCTTTTGTTAAAAATCAATTATTATATATAATTTATTGGATTTATTAAGAAACAAAAATAAAATAATATATATCATTATAAATATTATTATTTTATTTTATAACAAATACATATTTATGATTTTATTTATATACTTTTAAAAAATTGTAAAGATTTAAGAATTAAAAAATATGTTTTTTGAAAGTAAAATTTTTTATTAATAAATAAAAAATTTTACAACTTATATTTATTAAAAACCATAGAAAATAATTTATAATATAAAATTATTTAAATTTATTTCTTATTTTTATATTTATTTTTAATAAAAAAAAAAAATTAATTAAAAAAATCTATTAATTATAATTTTATATCCATAACCTATTTTTAAGGTATGAATTGATTAATTTTTTTTATATTGTAAATAAAATTAGAAATGATCATAAAATTAAAAAAAATATTATTAAAAAAAAAAAAATTAATGATATACATAAATATAGATTTATGAAAGATAAATTTTTAATTTCTTGTAATTTATTGCTACAAATATTTTTATTTAATAAAAACTATAAAAATTAAAATTAAAATATATTATAAATATTATATATATATATATATATATTTATTTATATATATATTTATTTATTAAATATATATTATTATTTTTATCATAATTATTAATTTGATTCTATCTTTACTTGATCTACTTAAATATTTTTTTTTCTAAAAATATGCCTTAGTTTATATAAATAAACAATTAAAATTATCAAAACAATAGCTAAAAGTATCCAAAAGCCTATTTACCATAAAATGTTTGTTTTTACTTTTGGCAAAACTTATTTATCACAATAAGAGCTATGGTCTTTATGTATATAAGCTGACATTATTGCTTTAAAATCACTATATTTACATACATCTTATCCGTTGCAAACATTAATATATTTTCCATTAAATTTAACTTTAACATAATGTTATTTATCTTAATCATCCTCATATAACTCGAAAATATAATTGGCTGCAAATACTGGCATTAATTCACAAAATTCAGATTATTATTAATTTTATTAATAAGATTAAAGACATTCTTTACTCTATTAATTGAAAATTAACATCATAGGATTTATTTATGTATCATGAGTTGATGCTATAGTTATTTTACGTGGGTTTTAATTTTTTATTTTAGATTCAAATTCTTCCAAAATGAATTTGATATATGGAGTTAAAATTAACTTACTTACTAAAGGAGTGAAATATGTAACAACCTTATAAAAGCTTTTTATATAATTTAAAAGTTCATACTCTTATATGGTTATATTGTAGTCAATACCTAAGAATCTTGAAGTAGTTACCCAATCTACAAAAGCCGACATATTTTTAACATCTAAAGTATAATTTATACCTATTTTTGCAGCTACTTAATTCACTTGAGTTTCATATTTTTTGTAAAATTCTTCTAACATTACAATGTTTTCTTTAAGATTTTATTCTTTGAGTTTTGATTTTGAAGGTTTACATTTAAATTTAAGGATATTTAAATTATCAGTATATTATTATATCACATAAGGATAATAACCCTCAGGTAAAGCAAACCTCTCATTATTAATAAGAAAATCATTTACTTATTATGCATGCTATTATTATTAATTCTAATGATATGGAGCTTCTTTTAAATTATCAGCTAAATTTTGAGGTAATGCTATGCCAGTTCTGAGAGGATATAAACCATATAAGAAACTTTATAAACTCTATAAAGTTCTATTTACATTAGAAGAAAATGCATATGTACTATCAATATCATAATTATTTGGAAGAAATCTTTTTTAAACAACATATTCTTAACGAACAAGATTGCCAAAATTATAGTGTTAAAGCATACCAACTGATGTTAATTATCCTTCTCTTTTTTTATAAAATTCATATTCAGCCTTACCTTATATTACTTAAGAATTAAGTGAATATCTTGCTCCATGACGCATAGCTATTTAAATCATTTTAAGATTTAAAGCAGAAAAAGCTTCATTTATCAACATAATAAAAAAGAAACATTTTACAAAAATAATCATTTTATATAATTTATTTTATATTTTTAATAAAATTAATAATAATATATGAATAAATATTAAAAATATATAAATAATTTATTATATAAATTACTATAAATATTTTATATATTTAATGATATCATTTAGATATTTTTAGTATAAATAATTTTCTGGTATCTAATAAAATAAAAAAATAATCTATTATTAAATAAATATTTTCACATTTATTATCTATATTTATAAATGTTAATTAAATAAAAGAAATAGATAAAATAATTTTTTTATGCATATTATAATTATTTATAAATTCTGTTTAATAATCAAAGTAAATAACATATAAAATATATATATATATATTATTAATCATATATATTACATAATATCATAAATAATAGATTTTTTAAAAAATTTAAATAATAAATTTTATATTTTATATTTGAAATTTTTTTTTAAATTAATATATTTAAATAAATTTTTTAATATGTAATGAGAATAATTTTAATATATTATTCTAAATTAATCAATAATATAATTTTATAAATTTAATATTTATTAAAAAAGTTTATAAAATGTTATTATTTTGTATATAATTATTTTAATTTATTTTTTATGACTAAAAATAATATATTATTATTTTATAATTTAATTTATTTATTAAAAATATTGCAAAATTCTTTTAAAAAATTAATACAAAATGTATAATTATATAATTTTAAATTATTAATAAACTATATATTTCTTTATATTTTTTTTTAAAATAAAAATGAAAATCAATAATATAAAAAATACTAAAATCGATTTAGTATATTTTTTTGTTTAAAAAATAATAAATTTTTATTTTTAGATTTAAATGTATTAAAGTTTCCTTTCAAATTCATTGATAATTTAAATATTATTCAATAAAATTATTTTTATATTAAAAATTTATTTTAAAATTATTTTTTATTCTTTTATAAATTAAATTATTTAATTTATAAAACTTTATTCTTATTAAATTTTAGTTTTTATTTTTTAAGAATTTTTTTTAAAAAAATTGTTATATTCTTTTTAAAGAATAAAACATTAATAATATAAAAAAAAAAAAAAAATTAGACTTATTTATTCTTTTTATATTTATTTAAAAAAAAAAATTACAGTCATTTTTAAAAATTTAGATAAAAAAAATAAATATATATTATATTAGATATAATATATATTTTTATAAGTGATATTTTAATAATAAATATTATAATGATTATATATTATAAATAAAAATATATTCTTTACATTTACTTTTAATAATTAAAATAAATAAAAAATTTATTTATAATTTATATAGTTAAAGAATAAAAAAACTATAAATGATATATTATATAAATTTTATATTTTTTATAAAAATTATTAGAAAATATAAATATAATCATCAAAAAATTAATATTTTATATTGATATGATTTGAAATAATATAATAGATTAATTTTTTAAATAAAATATATATATAAATAAATATATATATATATATTTATATATATAGATATAGATATATATATATAATTTTTTTCTATATTAATTTATTTCTATAAATAAATTATAATTTTTTTTTATTTTTATTAATTGACGAATTTTAAATATAAATTTTATTTATTTTTATTATAATTTATAGAAACATTTATTTATTTTAAAATAATTATATTTAAAATACTCAAATATAATAATATATAAATAACATTTAACATATAATATTATCATATATTAATCTTTTTATATATCTTTATTATAATTATTATTTACTTGTATAACCTTAATAATTTATAGTATTATTATTATTTAACATATATCATTTTATCATATTTTTTAAAAATAAAAAAATTGACTAAAAATAAGAAATAAATTAAGTAAATGTTAATTTTTAATAAAATATTTTTTAAACTAAAATTAATCTATTATTTTTTAAAAAAAAAAAAATTTAATATTAAGCCTAAAAATTTTTAATATATTTAATTAATATCAAGTAAATAAAATAAAAAATGAAAAACATTTTATAACCTTATTATTATTTATATTTATATATTTTTATCTATAAGTCATTAAACACTATCTTTCCACGATAAAATGAAAAAAAAGCATATATAAAAATAAAACCTACTTTAAATTGAATCATTAGATATCTGTAATTTACAAATAAAAGTCAACATAATATGGTAATAATCTACGATATGTCTCATTTCGAAGCATTTCCTTCAAACGCTTAAATAAAATGTTAACTATTACCTTCGAAAAAGCCATATAATTCGCTATTGAATATTTTTCTCATTTAATAAAAATAATCCCAATTTCTAAATCATAAATAATATAGATAAATTTTGAATGTAAAGATATTGAAGTTTCTACAATAGACATGAATAGAGGAAAAAATTCTGATATAAATTTTTATGTATAATATAACACGAATGAATAAGAAGATTATTAAGCCTATTCATATACGGGTTAATTTTTCTCAAATATAGGACATACTCATAATTTAGTTTGATTAAATTTAAGTAAATTAACAGACATAGATTTTGGAAATCCTATTGAATTAGAAAATTTAGTTGAAATAGCTATAACTATTTCTAAAAAAATAATAGGGATTTATAGTTAATTTTCAAGAACTCATAAAGTTATTATGTTTGCTTAATAATATTTCGGATGTCAAAAATAGGAAGATACGCCTCTATAAAATTCAGGAGGCAGTAATAAACAAATTTAATAAGGATATATATATATATATATAGAGAGAGAGTTATAAATTATTAATTAAAAAAAGTTAATTAATATGAATATATACATAATATTTTTAGTTATAAATAAAAAATAATAATTAAATTATAATTAATGTAAATATAAAATAAATTACAAAACATATATATTGCATATATAAAATAAAATAATATAAATATATAGCAACAAAAAATTAATATTAAAATAATTATATAAAATTTTTATTAATATTAAAAAAAAAAAATTATTATATATAAAATTTATATAAAAAATATATTATTTGATATATAAATATATATATATATAAATTATTTATGTTTTTTGAAAAATATAATTATTTTATGTATATTTAATATAAAAAGATTTAATATATATTTTTTATTTAATCAAAAATAATAATAATATGTATTATTATTATAAATGAATAATTTTTTATTTTTGTTTTTTCTTAAAAAAAAATTCTTGTAATATTTATTAAGTTATTTTTAAAATACATTCGTTTTTATTATTAATTTAATATTAATTTTAAATAAAAATAAAATAAATATAATATAATATAATAAGTTATAATAAAAAATTTAAAAAAAAATAAAATGATTTATTATTATAATTTATTTAAGTTTTTTTTTTTATAAACTAAAATAAAAA